ATTTTATGTAACACTGACACTCTTATCAACTTATTGTGATTTTGGTTTTAGTTTTTTAATGGATGCTTTTTGTATACATGTAAACATGCATTTTAAAGAGCAGCTGTATACCCTTCAACCTGTAACTTGGCCACATTTTCACAATTGAGTATTTGTATTTGTAACTAATGAATGAAAATATTAATATATTATATAAAATATATTATAATATTATATAAAATATATTATAATATCTAACATTTGTTAGAAGTTGGATTAATATGTAACAATCCAACCTATCACACATTTACAATTTACTACAGTTTTTCATGTGCCAATATATGACAAGGCAAAGACTTAAAAGATCTTGACTTTCAGTAAATAGGAGAATACAGACATCCTAGCAGGTCTAATGTTTACCATATTTATAATCTTAGTTTAGCAAGTTAGCATGCTGACATTTATAAGCACTAAATACTTACTAAGTATATACTAAGTAATTAACAACTTTTTTTGATCTGATGATGTTATTAGAGGAAAAATTGGGAGAACACTAAAGTTACAATTTGGGGGACATGAATTTCTCTAATAAACTCAATTGTAAAAGATAAGATTATATATATATATGAATAATTTTGGCATTTAACTGCTGAAAAATACAACTTAATTTGCCAATAAATGTGGAGAGCTGACAAAACAAATTCTTTTTTAGAATATGTGATTCTTCAGCTGAAGTTTTTTTCATAATAGATCAATTAATCTAATCTCAGTGGCATGTGTGCATGTTTACAGTATAGTAATAATAATAATAATAATAATAATAATAATAATAATAATGATAAGCTACTGTATGATGGGGTTTTATTTGAGATTTTCCAGGCTTTAACATACATGAAACTGCCTCAGTATTAATCAGTTTTGTCCACATTACATCTTCTTTCTTTGAAAAACTGTACAGTTATTTTCATTTTAAAACATATATTTATTATATTTTTACTACAAATTTCTATTTTTTATTGATGATTCTTGACTTTTAGTTTTTGTGCACCAGATTACCAAGGGAAATTCCTTGTATGTGAAAATCTACTTGGCAACAGACAATGTACAAATGTTTGATGTTCATACTAATCTACTGTAAAAGGATGCAACTGTTGCAGCAGGATCTGTGTAATGACAAAAGTTTGTTACAGTTATACAGTAGAAGATATTACACATGTAAGATCATTATAGTGGATATTTTATTATATGTTCCAAAAAACACACTTGATGTTCTGTTCAGATGTCTTAAGTAAATACCTTAAAACACATCCTGAAGCTAGAGGTGAACAATCTTTGCATACACTTTATAATAGTTGAACAACTGTGTGTTTCTCATGCACATTGATTACTGAGTAATCTATCACTATCACTATCAGCGGCATCAGAAACTTTATGGATGCTACATCACAACTGTTAATTTAGCTGCTGCTATATAAGCTGCCATGCTGAGCATCTGAAGCAGGTTGGAAGGTGAACAAATTCACCATGTGGACTCTCTTGTTTCTTTGCAGCGTGATCCCCTCCTATGGAGTTCAAGGTATTGTCCACTATATTATTACCAACGCCAGTCTTGCATTTGTATTTTTAAGGTAGTAATGGTCTACATTCAATTTCAGCATTGGTTTGAAAGATTCATGTCTCGTTTATTTGTTTTTGTTATAATCCATAAGGTGCTGGTCGCTTCTACACAACTGAGGAAATGAATCCAGTAACCACAGAACCTACAGGTACGAAAACTGCAACTAATACATCATATGTCAAACATGATTGATGAGTTGCTGCTTTCAAAAGCCAACAGTTTCAGCTAAATAGGAACAATTTACTATGTGTATTAAAACTCTGATTATCACATGCCTTTGGTCTGAGTTACAGAATGTGTTTATACTTTCCCTGTGTTACATCTCTATGTCTTTCTGTTTGTTTCTAGAGGTATTGGTGTCTCCTGTCGCAGGTAAAATAAGCGCCACCAAAATAAGAAGCATAATGTCAGATCATGGCTGCTTTATTCAAATTCTGTGTCACACAAACATTTTATTATTTATTTAATATTTTATTTCTAACTTGTATGATTGCATTTCTTTCATTTGTCATTCTTCTATTCTTTATGTCTATTTTCTTTTTAATCTTCATGATCCCGTGTTTCTTCAGGTGCGAGCTGTGGTGGCTACCTGTATAGCAGCAATGGCAAATTTTACAGCCCCCGCTATCCAAACAACTACCCACCGAATGCAGACTGTTATTGGTACATCAGACCAGGAAGCAGTATTGTGCAGCTGGATTTCTCTTTTGTAGAGTAAGCTTATGCACTAGACCTCCGTGATCACGCACGTGATGTTGCTGTAGTGTTTATCTCTAACTTCAAATTCAAACCTCTGTTCTTCTTTCACAGCATTGAGAATTCCCATAACTGTGTTTATGATGCCATTTACATCCATGATGGTTCCAGTACCAGCAGCAGACTTCTGGGAAAGATATGTGGCGATAACAATGCCACCTTCTACTCCACCGGTTCTTATTTGACTGTGCGCTTCAGGAGTGATGGTACTTCTTCTTTTTCAGGATTTCGTGCTGACTACCAAGTTGTGGGTAAGTCACAATGATTATGATGAAGATGTTTCCGTATTTTACACAATATGCAGTATCGCCATTTTAATGACATCTGGATTTCTACAGCCTTAAAATACAAAAAAGTCTCATTACAACCATGTAAATATTAACCTAGACTATGTGATGTATGAGTGATGGAAATTGTTTTGTCCGAACTTTGTGCAGCTGGAGGTTCCTGCAGATACAACTGTGGCCTCCAGGTTGGAAGCTGCTCTTGCTCTTCATCCTGTCAGTACAGAGGGAACTGTTGTCCAGACTACATGGGTAAGCAGTGGTGGAAAGTAACAAAGAACATTTATTTAAGTACTGTCTTCCATTTTATATATTTTGGTATACACTCCATAATATTTCAGTGAGAAATATTGCACTTTTTATTTGACAGCTATAGTTACTTTAAGATGTCAAATAAAACAACATACGCCTTTAAAATACAATGCATTACTGAAGATTAAATGAGTAGTTCCCAACTTTTTTGGCTCACAAAAAAACAGCTATCTGGTTAGTGCCTCTCATAATTTTCCAGATGTTGAGCTGTTGTTGATTCAAATATAATTTTACAAAGAATAACTAAAAATATGAATGCACGTGTTTACAGCAGAATTGCCTCTTTTTATCTCACGACCACAAAGATTTCTATTGTGACTCTCTGGAGGGGGCCCAGAACGTAGGTTGGGAAGCACCAGACTAAATTACATAACTGTAAATTAAGAAAGTAATAATACTGATACCTCTTTGTGAACGACATAAACAAACAAGACAATCAACAAGAAGAAATGGGTATTTCTTTGTAGTCACTTCATTGCATTCATGTGGTATCAAAATAATCAGAATTCCCAACTGGGAAAAATCACGTTCTTGATTGTTAGTTCCTGTCCAGGTAGAGTAACCAATAGGTTATGTATTAGCATTAACCATGACAACAAGGTGATAGTAATATTTTAGTGGTATATATAGTCCAGCAACAGTATTATTATTATTAATTACAACTTAAATGTCCAGTGTGAAACATTTAGGAGGATCTATTGGTAGAAGTGGAATATAATATAATATAATAAATAATATATAAATTATATATAATATAATTTAAATAATTTCCCCCTGGGATTATTAAAGTTTCTGTATCTGATTCTGATTCTGATAACATTTAGGTATTTTTTCATTTAGATTAATAATCACCTGAAAATATGAATTGTTGCTTTTGTTACCTTAGAATGAGCTGTTTTAACTACAGAGAGAGTGGGTCCTCATCTATGGAATCCGCCATGTTGCACAGCCATGTTTCTACAATCCAGGCCAGAACAGACAAACCAAACACTGGCTGTAGATAGGGCCTTTTCATGTTTTTTTTGCTGGTTTTGCAGTCACTTTAGTTTCTCCTACATGCTTATTCTTTACTCTTTCCCCTTGAAATCCAACAAAGAGGCAGTTGAAACACCACCGCTTTTGTCCACAGGGGCCGTCATAATCAACACAAAGTTAATATTCCTTGTAGCTGCTTTAAGTAGGATTATGAATGCAGAACTTTGCAGGATTTTACTTACTTACTTAAAATTCAGGTTATTCTTGTCTTTCTTTCAGATCACTGCCTAAACCCGACTATGACACCAGGACCAACAGTCACCTCAGGTATTCAAATATCTGCACGACTAAAAAATGTTAAGGCTATAGTTCCATCAAATTTATTTATCCAGACATAGAACTGTAAATACTTTGATAAGACTCTATCTTCCTGTGTCTCTCAGCTCAGCCCTCATGTCGTTACAACTGCGGCAGTTACATGGGAAGCTGCTCCTGCACAAGCTCTTGTCAATACTATGGCAACTGTTGCTATGACTACAGCTGTAAGTGCCAAGTCTAACAAATCAACAGCATTAACAGGTTCTGCATCCCTCTCTTGCTGAGGGAGTCAGTCTGTCAAATTCCTTAGTGCTTATACGGTCATGGTGTGATAATATACTCTTATTCACAGTTACAGAATAAACAGCAGATGCATCATAATGTTTGTTTTACACAGTAAGGAGGTGTAGGAGATTGCAATCACTTTATTCTCTTCTCTCTGTCATGTAGCGTACTGCCAGTCAACCACTGTTGAACCCATCACAGGTATGAAAACCTCTCAACAACCTATTTGTGAAAGAATAAAACATATCATCAGTTACTGAAATGTTTTAATATTCTTGCCTATCTCTCAGCCCGACCCTCATGTCGATACAACTGCGGCAATTACATGGGAAGCTGCTCCTGCACAAGCTCTTGTCAATACTATGGAAACTGTTGTTATGACTACTCCTGTAAGTATCAAAGTTCAGCAGAGAAGCCACCCCAGTATGGTCACAATTTTGACCAAAAAGCAGCGAACGCAATAACTGTAGGAAGTTTGTGTATAATAAGAGATGTGGATTCATTTTGAGCACATCATTTCCTGTGAATTTTGCATCAGAGATGAGTTGTCCTGATATTTTTTAGGAACTTTGAATGCACAATTCTCTGTTAAAGATTCAAACAATCATGCATACTTAATAGGCGTAATTTATTTTAATTTTTTTTTTTACAAATTCAGTGTTTTCGTCAGCCTGATTCTTAGCCATTGTTCTATTAGCTCTTTGGTTGTTTTAACTGTGACTTTTTCAGGACAAGGCTGTTTAGCAGAGAGTGAAGGCTCTGTGAATATAGCTTGTGTTCAGCTCACTATGCCCTTATCCTGGGAGATTTTTTTAAGTTTATATTCTAAATAATCATCTAAACTTTAGAAAAACAATTTTGTTTAGTTTTCTTCACAAAAATGAATTAAATACTGAGATATAGGCCAACTGTAAATATCTATGTATATATATATTTAAAGTTGTCTTACAACCCTTTAAATCAAGAAGGCCTTGAAATTCCCAGTGAAGCTTTGGTGGCCCCTAGTGGGGGTCGGGACTCCCAGGTTGGAAACCAGTGGATAACAATATGAAGGTGGCGGAATAATATTTTTTTGTTCACAGTTGTAAAACAACAGGTGTATCATAGTATTTGTTTAACACAGTAAGAAGAGGTCATTTTATTCTCCTCTCTTTTCTTTGTCATGTAGCTTACTGCCAGTCAAGCACTGCCGACCTATCGAACACCAACCTCGGTATGAAAAGCCCTCTCAAGTATTTTTGGAATGAAACCGACATTTAGTAGGGTTTAGTGATCATGCTATTCTGAAGCAGATTTCTAAAATTTTGTATTCCCGGGTGTCATTCAAGCCAGCCTTCATGTCGATACAACTGCGGCAGTCACCTGGGAAATCTGCTCCTGCACAAGCTCTTGTCATACTATGGAAACTGTTGTTAGTGACTACTACTGTTAAGGTCAAAGTTCAGCAGAGAAACGCAACAACCTTATGGTCACAATTTTAACCAAATCATCCTATATTCATAGAAATGGACTGTACAAGTGATATGAACTTGCATCTTTTCCCTCCCTAATTTGATTATTTCCTGTTAAAACAGGATGTTGGGGCCGGACGCACTGTAGGAGATCATTATAAACTCTAAACCAAAGGAATATTAGTCAAGGAAGAGAAGAACTGTATGATTTGATATAAAGGACAGACTGACTGACTTTCTTAAAAAAATGCAGTGACTTTTAGTGACATTACAGTGTCCATGTCATAGGGTCTTAAATGTAACTTTGGTTTCTGAGTTTTATTCTGTCCCGGAAGGTCACTTCTGTATATTCTTTGATGACAAACTGTCCAAAGAGAGCCATTTATGTAAAGTTATAGAAATTGTTGGACACAGGCGTTGCAAATCCTGACAACAGAAGGGTAGTTTCTGAAGCTATTTGACCATCCAACAAGCAGTTCTGATGGAGCATAATGGCACGTTATCCTCCCTGCCAATATAGCCACAACTACCCTAAAAAAGTCCAACAATTTCCTTCAACTCAACAACAGTGAAACAGAGATTGTCGTATTGGTGCTAAATGTCTCAGGAGCAGGAAACACGTCCTCATTTAGCCTGTCTGTGTTGAGAAAGTACCACAAAGGCCAAAAACCTGTAGTTGCTGATGCTGACTATACCCTCTACTACTTAAAACAACTGCTGACCGACTGAATAGCAATATGGACATGGTGGGATAAGATTTTTTGTTCGCAGTTTCAGAATAAGTAGTAGGTGTGTCTGAATATGTCTGGTAGGAAGGGATGATAAAAGATAGTAATCACTTTATTCCCTTCTTTCTGACATGTAGCGTACTGCCCGTCAACCACTGTCAGACCCGCCACAGGTATGAAAACCTCTCAACAATCTATATGTGAAAGAATAAAACATATCATCAATTACTGAAATGTTTTAATACTCTTGCCTATCTCTCAGCCCAGCCCTCATGTCGATACAACTGTGGCAGTCACCTGGGAATCTGCTCCTGCACAAGCTCTTGTCGATACTATGGAAACTGTTGTTATGACTACTCTTGTAAGTATCAAAGTTCAGCAGACAAACCGCAACACCCTATGGTCACAATTTTAACCAAATCATCTGCTATATTTCAATAGAAATGGACTGTACAGTGATATGAACTTGCATCTTTCCCTCTTAATATGATGTATTTCCTGTTGAAACAGGATGTTGGGGCCGGACGC